GGACTAACGGCAGCTTGTCTTACGGAACGATGGGCTGTTTAACGGCGACAAACCAATCCGCGAATTGTTTGTTCTGAGCAACATCACATGTGATTGATTAATGAATATTAAAGATTAATTAATTTATAGAAATACGTGTGGGAAGTGGTTGACGTGACGTTTGTGTTGTCCAGCGATGAAAACGATCATCAGCGAGGAGAAACTGCGCTGCCAGTCCCTGTTTTCCAATTTCTCAGGTACTTCGAATCAGTGTCCCCCGGATTTCGACAACTCGTTATGCTGGGAACCGACCGACGCCGGATTTGCGCAATTCATCGAGTGTCCCTTCGAATTCTGTTCCCACTGTCAACTGCCAGGTAAACAGATGAAAAATTAAAATGACTTTTACTTTGATGCACGTAACTGTTGTGACCATGTTTACAAGTAACTAATTATTTCGTGATGGATGTGTAGGCGTCATTTCAGCTTTGTGCAAATGGTCCAGGGCTCATGGCGCTGTTTGAGCATATGGTGCCCGTTGGATGGTAAATGAGTGGGTGTTTCTCACTGCTTCTGCAAAACAGACACATCATTTTGCCAGCATCGTTATGGTTTCCAGAATCTTAGTAGTTTTGCTCTTCCACATACATAACTGCAGAACCGCGTCTTCTGAGTTTTTTCCCATGGTACTTTCTGATCTGTTACTCACTAGCACTAGAAAATCTGTGAGTAGTTTTAGTTCCAAAGACAACTTGACTGGAAGAGTTCAAGTTCAAGCACTTTCACCGTTCACAGACTTCCAAATGGATCGCTGCCCATAAGCCCTGAACAAGAGGAAACGTTCTGACTGCTGCGGACGCGGTAACCTGAACCGTCAAAATCTATATCGTTGATGCCAAATATTCTGCATAACAATTTATAACCAAATACCAAACTGGTTTAACAATATTTTGCAAAAACTGTTTTAGAGGCGCATATACCTGCAAATCCGTGTTTCGTGGTTTTATGGCACTGTCCCCTAATCGTGGATATCTAGAGTCATGATTTAACTGTTTTAGAATATCGCTAGTGCATAGACGCAATGGACAGGTAGATCAGTACCTTACCCGATATCAAAGCTTCCAGCAAATGGTATCCATCCATTTTACATTTTTATCCATTAGCATGCAGAATAACGAGTCGCTGGGTTCACGTCTCTCTGCATGCTTAGCGGTAAAGATAATAGAAAGAGCCTTGGTGTACAGCCTCTGCTTCTCCAGACCGAGAAGTCACAGTTGCGATGGTGTAGGCATGTGAATGTGTTTGCAGAAAAATGGGCGAAATGATTACTTGTTGCTCAGCTGACAGGCAGATGACCCGAGGGACGGTCAGGAATAGTCTGAGGTAAAAGAATCGAAGGATTCTGCGAGAGGGTGAGCGTGGGCTTCTGTACTGCTGAAGCTCAAACGCTCTCACAGAATCAGGATCTTTGGAGACACCGTCTGATTTGTCTTCCTCCGCGACCCAGCAGGATAATCTTTGTTGAAACTGACTGACTGGCCGATGAGTGAAATAGCGCCTCTGGACAGGTAACGGGATTAGACGGGATTAGCTACTTCTTCTTTGAGTTTTACCGCATACCGCATTTTCGAGGTAGGATTTTTCGGTTTCTCTATAAGTTCATCTCGTCGACCGTCAAATTGCCTCACATTGTCCATGAGTGGTCATTTTTGGTCAAATTCTACGCTTATTCGCAGACAGCGTACATACCTGATTACTATTTTGCTAT